TTTGTTAAGCATTTATACGACTTGCTTCTTTTTTCATATCAATCAATAAGCATAACACCATTTAACGATTTTTTCAATTTAGGGGAGTCATTCCTATTAATCAACATTTTGGCTTTTTTATTGGAGGCTTTATCAGTAGACTCATTGATATACTTTTTCAGGGAGTGGTCCGGAAATAATAATAATGGTGAGTCGTTAGATAATAATGGTGATATATCCATTGAATCATTATCATCTTTCTGCTTTCCGGATGAATTGATAACTGCTGATTCTACCTTCTTCTTACAATCGGGTCTTAGACATGATGGACTAGTTTCAATGGAACTTTTGATACAATTGCGGTGATATATATATCCACAGGTAAGTATGGTGAATGGCTTTTTTATTTCGTACAAAAAAAGCTCTTGGTTGCATAATAAGCATGGATCTAGTTCCGAAACATTAACACCTTCTGAAATCTTTTCTGTGAATGAATTTTTAAGGATATTTAATGCAAGTGTTTCGAGACATGAAATATTAGCAGACATAATAATCTTTGTTATATCTTACTTCCACTGAATCTGTTTTGTTTTATTTCATTAGGGCCTTCCATAGTCTCCTGATTTTTGTCAGTCGATTAATTTGCTGATCACGTTCTGAAATTGACCTGTATTAGGAAGAGGCGATCTTGAATGAATATGCGAATTAGTTTTCAAGGATCAAGAACGGTAATATCTCCGATTTGATTTTAAACATCTATAAAGTAGATTACTTAACCTCTAGCCACAAACTATATGCGGGATTTGGAATAGATTTTTCCGCTCCTGCCTCACATGTTTCACTATCCTGTGATGATCGAGAGGAATTCGCTAAAAATATGAATGGTAAGTCAAATTATTCTGGAAAAAATTTGTCTATTCTAGGATCATCTATCAGAATAAAAAAAATAATATATGCAAATATTACATCGCACAGTCCCTATTCTTTCGACAAAAAATTTTTCCGATATTATTTGTCTTAGCGCCTTCAGTCAGGTAACAGTTTTCATATGATTATTTTACGATTCCAATTAATACTACTACTTTTTAATTGAAGAGGTTCTAGAACGCTAAATTAAAGATAAGTATTATTAACATAATCTATTACAACTGCGCATTTTCATTAGCTATGGATCAAAGCTTACTAACCAATTCTGATCTTAGTGCCGGCAATAATCTGGATGGGGAATATGAATTTTTAAAGGCTTTAGGACTATTGGAAGATGTTGACAAAGTTAAGATAAATAATAATACCAATGATGAATTTGGAACGGGCAATGGTATCAATGATGATGCTGATGATGATACTGAAGAAGAAGAAAATGGTAATGATGATGGATTATATAGCCCACTTTGGTGAAGATGCTTGGGATAAAGTTTATCAAGTTCAGTTAGCCATCATTGTAATATCCTTCTTAGGCTATTCACCGGGTGCCTTCCTAATTTATCTAAACAAGCAAAAAATAGATTATTTGACGCATTTTCTAGATGTGATGCATTTGAAGTATTAGAACATAACGCACTATTGGATGCGCTAGCTCATCCCGTGAAAGGTTTAAGTCTTTCAAGATATTAACAGCTTGGATTTGTTTAGTCTTGAAGTATGCTCATTCCCTACATTACCCATACTCCCATATTAGATAATATCTTGTAAAAATTGCGTCACTGCGCCTTTGCTTTATTTTTATGAAATAAAATTATTACATTTAATAAAGTACATGATACAAAAAAAAATTTCTATCTAATTGTTAGGCGAGGGTGGTATAGGAGATGCAACTACATGGTATAAGTCTACAGGAGGGTTCTCATTGAAATAATCAGAAATCAAAGCCTGTGATTGCATACACCTTTTGTTCACACTTCCGGAATAATAAATTTGACGAATATCAAGAGGAATATTATTAAATAGAGGTCCTAACTCAGTTTGAATTGCAATTTGGAGCCTGCTGACTGCTGTATTCCTAAAAATCGTAATTGTTAACTCAATCTTATTGCGTAAAAGAGCATTGAATTAGCCACTAGAAACAATAAGACAATTAAGAGTAATGTCGCTCATTTTTAGCTTCCTAATTATAATACCTATAGTAGGTGAGTGAGTGAGAAGTTGCGCCTAGTCTCAACTGAATTTATTTTGCCAAATAAAGTGTCTTACCTTGAAAAAATCGTTAAATGGTGTTATGCTTATTGATTGATATGAAAAAAGAAGCAAGTCGTATAAATGCTTAACAAA